CAGAACTGCATTCAAACAGAACACAAAAGAAATGATATGATATGTCATTATAGGTGTTGGTTTGCACAGGCATGCTCTCTATTTTACACAACATCACTAACACACACACACACACACACACACACACACACACACACACACACATACACACACATACACACATACATACACACTGACATTCCTCCACAGATCACAGTCCTGCTCGCACCTCCAGCCATTAAAAACCCAAACTCTATTAATCATTACAGTAGTATTGAGGGCAGCTCAGTGGTTAGCACTGTGGCCTCACGGCAAGAAGGTCGCTGATTCGAGCTCTGGCTACGTCAGTTTGGTGTTTCAGTGTGGAGTTTGCATGTTCTCCCAGTGTTGGCGTGGGTTTCCTCCGGGTGCTTCGGTTTCCCTCATAGTCCAAATACATGCGCCATAGACAAAGCCGGCCCTCCCTATAAGTGAACTAAGCGACTGCTTAGAGCTCTGCCACCACTAGGGGGCCCCCACAACCGACTAGTGGTGCGAGCCGCTTCCTTGCTGAAGTCGTTTTAATTAGCATTTTACACATTATCTTCATTGACAGTGCTTTAGTGCTTAAATATTTTTTTAATTTTCACTAAAAATAAAAAATGTATAAATCATAATTTTATTAAAGTTGAAATTGTTTTCGTGTGAAGGTCATGTGATCAACAGGAAGCTCGCTCACATGTGTTCTGTGTTCTCGCGGTTCGAGTTTGCTCTTCCAAGGTGACCTGAAAGACCGACCGGTCACCACAAGAACGCGAATCCGTGCAGCTCAAACACTCTAATGGCTGATGGACAGACGGCTGCTTCTCACTCAGGGCTACTCAGGGCTGCTGTTTATGCTAATGAGAGATGGGCACTAGTGGGTGGGGCTTTCCCCCTCTGATGACATCATAGAAAGGGAGAATGTCAATCAAAGTGTTCCCTTCATCAAGTCTGATTAGATCAAACACAATTCACTCATGTTCACTAATAGAGGATGATATATTCACACAACCCACAAGCTTTAAGTAATACAGCCTTATTGTAAAGTGTTACCCAAAACACAGATCGCAGTATTGTTCAGTACTCACAGATATGTCGAAGATCTGCTCTGAGTCGTCCAGCAGCAGCACTCTGATGGGCATCAGGCGCCCCGCTGGCATGGCTGGCGGCTTGTGTCCGGGCTCCAGTGTGCTGATGCCCAAACTCTCCGGAGCCCCCAGCCTGCGTCCCGCCTGTCCCTGCTCCACCATCCTCGGCCTCTGTTCAGCTGCAGGACAAAACACAAACACAGGAGGTGATTTAATTAATCATTTCTTTTTTTCACAAGTTAATATTGCAATAAGTGACAATGGGCAACACGGTGGCTCAGTGGTTAGCACTGTGTCCTCACAGCAAGAAGGTCGCTGGTTCGAGTCCTGTGTGGAGTTTGCATGTTCTCCCCGTATGGGCGTGGGTTTCCTCTGGGTGCTCCGGTTTCCCCCACAGTCCAAACACACGCGCTATAGGGGAACTGATTAACTAAATTGGGCATCCGCTGTGTAAAATATAAACTGGAATAGTTGGTGGTTCATTCTGCAGTGGGGACCACTGATGAATAAAGGGACTTGGCTGAAGGAAAATGAATGAATAATGGATGTCAATGACCCAGCATTTTTCAGAATATCTTGTCTTTTGGTCAACAAAAGAAAGAAACTTGTACATTTTTACAAATGCTGAGTAAATGGAAATGATCATTTCAGGTTAACTGTCCCTTTAAATCTATAATGATTAAACTGAATTGAAAGCTTGATAATCAGAATCAGATTGAATTGACAAGCTTGTGATACCCAGAGCTGCTTCTCAAATCTTATTCCCAGTGTTTAGCTCTGATGTCAGGACACGGCTGAAGCGAAAGTCAATATGAGATGTTAGAGTTACACTGCCGAAATGTGGCAGAACAAACTCTCAAATCTCAAAAAGCCTTTCATGAAAAAACAAACATTATTGTGAAATATGGTAACGTGAGAATTAACGGGTCGTGTTTAGAGTGCAGTCGATCCTCGAGATATGCTCATATTTCACTCTAGAAAATAAATAAATAAATAAATAAATAAAGGAAGGAAGGAAAGAAGGAAAGAAGCAAAAGAATGAATACATGAATGAATGAATAAATAAATAAATAAATAAATAAATAAATAAATAAATAAATAAAGGAGGAAAGGAAGGAAGGAAGGAAAGAAAGAATAAATAAATAAATAAACAAAGGTAGGAAGGAAAGAATAAATAAATAAATACATAAATAAAGGAAGGAAAAATAGATAAAGAAATAAATAATGGAAGGAAAGAATAAATAAATAAATAAATAAATAAATAAATAAATAAATAAATAAATAAATAAAGGAAGGAAGGAAGGAAGGAAGTAAGGAAGGAAGGAAGGAAGGAAGGAATGAATGAAGGAATGAAGGAAGGAATAAATAAATAAATAAATAAATAAATAAATAAATAAAGGAAGGAAACAATAGATAAAGAAATAAATAATGGAAGGAAAGAAAGAATAAATAAATAAAAAACAAACAAACAAATAAATAAATAAAGGAAGGAAAAATAGATAAAGAAATAAATAATGGAAAGAATAAATAAATAAATAAATAAATAAATAAATAAATAAATAAATAAATAAATGAATGAATGAATGAATGAATGAAGGAAGGAAGGAAGGAAGGAAGGAAGGAATGAAGGAAGGAATAAATAAATAAATAAATAAAGGAAGGAAAAATAGATAAAGAAATAAATAATGGAAGGAAAGAATAAATAAATAAATAAATAAATAAAGGAAGGAAATAACAGATAAAGAAATAAATAATGGAAGGAATAAATAAATAAATAAATAAATAAATAAATAAATGAATGAATGAATGAATG